ATAAAATTATGATTGGCAAACAAAACTTGCTGAAGGTCTTCTTACATTTAGGTTAATAAATGCAATGAGTTTTGCTACATTGTAAATTTTTATACAAAATAAAAATTCTCTACATACGAGTACAGCGTAGGGTTTAGAAGGTTTATGGGCTGCAACTTTAAATCCAAAATTTACCCCTTCTTAGATTTCTTTATCGCTAGTATTAGATTTTTATTTCAAAAAGTTTCACATTCCATACCCCGGTTCTTGGAATAAAATGGTTTTAAAATTTTGCATTCAGATTAAAAAGTCACGCCAGGTACACTTCGGTCGATGTAAATTATAGAATTTCATTGAAAAAAATGTGTTGCTGCATTAAATAATGAAATTTAATATATTTTTTTTAAAACAAAGAACTTGTCTTTGTCTCCTAATTTTAATGATAGGTCGTTACAAAATAACCACTAAATTATTAAAAACAAAAAAAAATCTATATTTACAACATTTAAGTCCTTAGTTTGAAGCAATGAATTACTAATATCATAAAGTAACAATCATTCCTTAAAGTTTCGATGTCCAAAAAATAATATTAAAAAAAGTTAGAGATTTATGCAAACTGTAAGCAAAAAATTATTTGAATACATAGTTACTTGCAACTTAGCACATAAAATTATTTATATTTTGTGCCAGAAGTTTCAGGTTTTGTCACACCTTTGATTTAAAAAGAACAACACTGAAAAGATTCAATAATAACTATGAAATATCATAGCAGTTTAAGCACTTTTAAAACGTAAAATACATGCTATTGTTAATATATCTCTCGTACAGCGACCTTCTTATTGCAGATTCGTTCTTGAATTTAAAAAAAATCCACAGTGGTTTTATAAAATAATAATATTACAAATACTTGCAAAAATTTAATGCGGCTTCGACAAAAAAGTAGGTACTTTTTGTCATAAAGACACATATTTGTAAATTTATAAATTTTGCTACAACCTGATTTAAATGATTTCTACGATTTTTAAATACAAAATTCATGAAATTTTTACTAACAAATAATAATCCTTTAAAAGTTATAGCGGTTTAAATTCCATCTTTGGCTTATATCACTCATTAGATGTAATAAGAATCTCCGAGAGTTTTGTTGGCCAATCATAATTACAGGAGGTTTGTTAGGATTCACAGATCTTGCTAGATCATTACACTGACTCACTGAAAATGTTCAATTCTATGATTGGACTTCAAAATGTCAGCAGACATTTGAGAAACTCAAAGAAACTTTAAATTCCAGCAACATTAAACTGGTGAGGAATTCATAGTTACTAGCAACACTGAAAGTGGAGGAATCATCACAGATCCAGGATAAAAAAAGGTACCTAATAGCCTACTTCAGCAAGGCATTATCAAAATTCTAGACTTTATATTGGAATTATAGAAAAAAGTGGATACACAGTATCCTACAGTGGAGTTAAGACAAATTTTTATAAACTAATTTCTAAAATATAAACAGATATAAGTACACAATAGCTGGTAAAAATAGCTCTGTTGTTAGATACTTTGAATCCTCTTTTAACAACTAAAATCCTTTGTAAAATGTCTATGTCATACATAGTATTAATTATATAATTGCCATTCCGGCATTTTATTTGAAGGAGCATAATTAATAGCTCTCAACCAGTGTTCAAAGAGCTATTTACATTTATTGAAAAACGATGCCTTGAACTAAATTTATTTTAACATCCAAGCACAAAGAATTTTTTTTTGTTTTTTCTATTTCATAAAGAAAAATTACTCAGATACTTAAATAATTCAATATTATAAAAGAACACTAAAAAAATAACTACAATACAGGGTGATTCACAACTTATCCAAAAAAATTTGGGAATAGATGCGGCATGAGAAATGGAGTCAATATTGTAAAAAAATTTTTTGTAAAATCCTGTTTTCGAGAAAAAAATTATTGAAGTTATAGTACATTCAACCACTACAAACATAGCTGGACAACTGTAGTCTCTAGCGTCATTCGCAATACGCCTGGAAAGCCACGTGGCCTCAGCAACTCCGAATACTGAAATCCGATTTTGCAAACGTCGTTGTGATAGTATTTACCTGTTATCTGTGGTGTTTACAATAGTATTTTAGTAGTTAGTGTCAAAAATGGTTTGCGAAGCATTTGTGTTAAGGTGAAACAAGACAACATTATTTGTGTTAGTTCGTAGAAAGTGAGTAAGATGGGCCCAAATGTGTTTACACATTGATGGATAAGATTTTGAACAATTGTTGTAACATCGGGTATGTCAGATGATTTTATTATTTAAAAACACAAATTAATTTTATTAATTAATAAAGGCAAAAGCAGTTGAATTTGCCGATATAAAATAGGTGCTATAAAATTCTATTTATTTCTTTCCTTGAGAAAGTTTTTGTCCGTTTTTATCACACCGCCATGCCGGTCTCATTGGCGAGGTCAGGTTTTACAGTGGACCAGTTTCAAGTGCCGTGCAAATCATTTTTGAACTGCTATCTTTGATTTTTTCTTTACAAGATTGTATTTGTGAGGGTCCCCTGTACATCCAGAATTTTTTTTTTTTTGGATAAGTTCTGAATCACCCTGTATTATACACATCACAGCTGTCACTGAAATAATATTGAGTTGATTTAAAATTTAATTTTAATAAAGTAAGATAAAGTGTTACAGCACACCTGGTGATTGTAGTAAGAAACAGGATTAGCGACAGGTTATTTGAGAAACAAATTCAAATCACTCTCACATATTATTAATAACTTATTCTTTCTATTCTTTAGGTTAAGAACCTATTAAAGTGAGAAAAAACATTTATATACAATTAATATCTACCTTTTTTACTTTATTTTAAACACATTAAGCTAATTCAAACAAATTCATTTTTTTTTTAAATCTTATCACATGAAGTCAAACAATGTTCTTCGATATCAGGTATCGAGATATGCAAAATATATCTAATCTTACAGACAAGACTCCTAACTACTGATATTGCAGAAAACAACTACTCTGGGCTATATGCCACAACTAGTATTGAATTACACCAATATCAAATGAAGTTGTTAAATGATACAATCGTTCAAAGAAACATTCTGTATTCTGGCTGTCCTATTATCACCCTTGAGTGACTGTATTATTTAATAATTTCAATATATCAAGTATGTATTTTTGTATTAATTATCTTTAGATTCGGAGCTTTATCATCAAAAATAATAGACGGTACTGTACAAAATAGTGACCAATACAATGAAAAAAACTTCTAAATTAATAAATTTCCACTGAAATAATGGAAAGTTTAAAATAGAAATTTATAAGAAAATATAGTTAAAACTACATAGAACGTTGGAGCAATTTAATAGGATAATTGAGCATAGGGGCCCTTTCAAGGGAATCGGCACGAGATCAACTTCAAAGGTCATTAAGGGCTCAAAAACGTATTTTAAAAAAATAATGTTAACAAAAGTCACATTTTTCGGTGTTGAATTAAAATCCGCAATACAAAAATATACTAATTTATTTAAACAAAACGGACTTCCGGTCCATATTGGCTACTTCCAGTCAGAACGGGAAGTTGAAAACATCTTTAATCAATCGGGCAAGGTCCATTTGTATTAATGAAACGTAATTTTACAAAAATGAATTATTGCTGTATTCTTAATATGCAGCGTAAGGGGAAAAAATCAACTTTCAATGGCCGTAGGTCCAAAACAAAGGACTTTCAGACTTTGTGCCCATTGAGCGATCAGAACTATCACATAGCAGTTTAAAAAATTTTACTGAAAGCCACTTTCCGTAAGGCTCTTTATACAAAAAATAATAACAACATAGTACCCACTTCAAAATAATGAAGGTTATACTCTTCAAACTTTGTGCAAAATTACAAGTCATTAGAGATGGGTAACTCAGTACTGCGTTGCGTTATTGCGCTGAAGCAATGGCCTGCGCCACTGCGCTGATACCAAAATTATTATTGCGTTGACGCAATTGAGTTACACCGACACCGCACCACACTTTTGAGTCAAACACGGAGTCATGCGCCGTACCCCGACAGACAAAGCCGAATGAAACACGTCATCACGTCAAAAGATTCAACTCTCTATTGGGTATTTACAAAACCAAGAATTTGAGAAGAAAAGAACACATTATAATATGTATATCCGATCTACCGAAATAATGTTAAAACGTTATATTAGGAGTAATACTTTTGAAAATAATATTATAGGACGAAAAATAGCGTGACGTATGAAATAACATGACTATTATTATGATAAAATGGAATATATACTTGGGGGTTGGGGGATTGTCATCATATGTTTGTCACTGTCTCTGCGTGTTGTGTAAAATATAGTATAGTTTCAACTTAAGGACTCGATGGCTCAGTGTAATTATAATGAAGCCAGTACGAGTGGGGGTAGACGACGCCTGCGTTATTTAAAATTTTTAATTACAGTTATGTGAAAAATTATGCATTTTAATTTTTAACTTTTATTGAAAAAACAGAAACAAAATAATAATCCTTTTATACAAAAATAATTAACGAGAACTTTCTTGTTATTTAAATCAGTATTTGTTATTTAAATTATAATTTAGGAATATTATTCGAGATATTTTTTCAAGATTGTCCAGCGTCACAGCACTGAGCAGTGAGCTGAGCTGATGAAGCTGTAGCGAGTCACGCGTCGGGTGGTGTAGTGGTGATATGACACCGCTGCGCTTTGCGCTAGGTGCGTCATCCGCCAGTTGAACCAATATTGCGTTATAACGCAATTGAGTTAACGCAGTGGGTTAACGCACAAGTGTACGCTTGAGTTAGTGTATCTACGCAGGAAATTTTGCTGCGTTACCCATCTCTACAAATCATGTCAGTTTATAAGAATAATCTTCCCGCTTTGCCATCGTATATTATACTGTCAAACTGACACTGTGCAACAAGTTATTTATGTATAATCTATTACTTTGAACCACTTATAGTATTACTACTGGAAATACGTTAAATTACCTTTTTGTCTTTATCAGTTTTAGATGATGATGTGTTAGAGTCTAACGATGATGTTGAGTTTTCTCTTTGCCGTTTCTTCTCTTTTCCAGAGGCTTTTGCTTTTTGTTTTCGGTTTTTTTCAAATTCAGCAATAAGTTCTGGACAATCCAGGTTATCTTCAGGTTCCCAGGTATTATCATCTTCAGAATAACCTTTCCACTTTAAAAAATATTCAACTTTCCCATTTACCACTCTGCGATCTATAATTTTCTCAACAGAATATTCCTCCTCCTCACTTTCAACCTCTTCTACTTTTTTCTTTCCCATTTCACCTTTTCTAACAAACATAAACTATAAGATAGGAGGTATTTTTGTAGGTGTATGAACATAAAATCCATGCAGGTTTATTACAAAATATATACCAACACGAACAGTATAAAATAATGCATATATTAAAAATATATATAATGATATACCTACTACAAATAATATAAGATAGAAAAGAACTACAACCAAACACAAATACGCGTACACGTACTTAAATGGCGGATGAATAAAGCGGTAAGTCATAAAACGTGAAGAAAATGACACAAAACACAAAAGCGGTTACTTATGGGGTCTTTTCGGAACCTTACCTGACTCGCTAAGGACGATTTCGATTTACATGAACTTTTGCACTCGCGCCATTATTCTATGGCTAGAAATTGGCCTCAATGATTTGGGATCGAGGGGGATTATCCCTCTTTATCCTGCCTCATCTCGTGTAGGCCTGGACAGCCTTCGTAGGTGGGCCCCATCCGTCGTCTACCCCGACCGCAAATGCGGCCGGTGTAGGCGCTTTGTGGGACCTCCTTTTGTCCTGGCTGGGCCCCGCCGGCTAGGGCCCTTTCTTCTGGCGCTCTTCTTGCTTCGCCGGCTCGTCTGTGTAAACCCCGGGGGTAGTGTCATGTTTATGTGTGGTATGGTTGGGTAGGGTAGTGCGGCTATGCAGCCTGGGATGCGCTTTGCTAAGG